ATATATATATATATATATATTCAACTATCCCCTAACATATAAATTGCTCCATGGCATACTTTCTCCCGAAATTCAAAGTATTATTGAGAACTTCACTGGTGTGTTGCAAAATGGCATGTTTCAACTAGAACAAGAGAGACAAAGTAAATCAATGAAAGTTACACATTGAAGCAATTTGGGTACAATTGACATCTTCGGGTTCCTCTACTTTGAGTGTTGGATTCTCTCAAAGAAATTGGAGGGACAGAGTTCAAACCCACCACTCAACGTCGGCATTAGAGGAAAGTCCGTTCAATTATAAAAAAGTAATGCTAGCACGTCTCATATTGGTAAATGATTTACTTCAGTAGAAAAAAACAGAGAGAATGTGAATCAAATGAAAGTTGCACATTGAAGCAATTTGGGTGCAGTTGACCTCTTTGGGTTCCTTTACTTTAGGGTCCGTTCGGTTCACTAATTCGAGTTTTTAATTCGAGTTGAGATGTGATGTTGTGTGAGAGCTTTTTATTATAGCAAAAAAATTAAGTGTGACTGTTTTTTAGAGTTTTTTACTGTAGCAAAACTCAAATTCTAAACTCAAATCAGCGAAAAGAACGGGACCTTTGAGTACCGGATTTCTCTCAAAGAAATTGGTGGGACGGAGTTCAAACCAACTGCTTAATGTGGGCATTAGAGGAAAGTCCTCTTGGCAAGGTGCGTGATGTAATCCTAATGTGTACCACACCACAATATCTTTATTTCCTATGTTCCTATTCCTGCATTAATAGAAAAAAAAAAAAGTTTTGGATTAATGAACATTTAGGCAAATCAAATAGCCAAATTTAAAATAATCATTTAATTAAGCTAATTAAGTAGTACCTGTGGCTCCATATAGCTAATGTATCATCCCCTTGGCTTTGGTCAGCATAGGAACCTCCTGCCCATTGTTCGGACTTGTTATATGGAGTAACCGAAACATTGTACTTGGTGAAAGCTCCCCTGATCTGCGCGTAATCATTGTCCGATAAGAGCGGGCCCGCTGCTGATCCGGGGATCTGACGGCAACCAACATTGTTGCCCATTTTAGTCCTCTTGTTAGGGTTCATAACTAGCAACTCAGACGCACCAGAACCAAGATTGGTCTTTGCCTCGGACTCGGTTTTAGCCTTCTCACTAACAACTTTCCAATAACTCTTCCTAGGCGAGCCAATTACTCTGGTTGTCTGCAATTTGTTCTTGACAAAGGAGTTTGCAACCCCATCCACATCAAGATCAAGGTGGTATGTTATAAAGTGATCATGGTTTGAGCCTAATGTATTTTCTGATAAAAGTGTACCATAAACTTCCTCTCTCATTTGATCCTTATGAGTGTACTTTGTTCCCCTCACTTCCAACAAACCAGTCAGTCCAACCTATAAGCAATAAAGCAATTCTATTTAGCAACCCACATTTTCGATCAACCAAATATTCAGTTGCGGGGCACCTTGAGACACGCATTTTAATCATATCCTACTGTATAAGAAAAATTATAAATGTGTCTTCACTCAAATATTGAAATATATAACTATTCACTTTTTAATATAATTATCTCTAATTTTTTTAAGAGTATCCTTACTAAAAATATTTCATGACTCCGCCACTGCACAAGTTTATAAATTAACTCTGTCACTTACCGAGTATGACAAAGAGAATCATAAATTCTTACATCAATATATTAAAAAAGACAAAAGAAACTAATGATCCTTTATCACCACTAATGATAATTAAGATGTGGAATATTATAACAAATTATATCCTTAAAAAAAAAAAAAAAAAAAAAAAAAAAAAAAAAGGCTAATTGTATCATCTCATCATTTACCTTGGCAACAATAGAACCACTTTGCTTGAATTCCCAATCAATAATGTAATCATAGTTGCCCACTGCTGATACCATTCTAACTACAAGGCTTACCTCATACCTGACTTCTCTTATCTACAAAACCAAATCAAAAGAATCACTTTTAAAATTTCAATACAACAAAACACATCCAAAACAAATTCAAAATTTACAAGTGAAGAAAGAGACATAATATATAATTAACCACTCTGTTTGGTACAAGAGTCTCTGTGTGACGCCACATAAAACCTCCTGCAGATCTTTCAAACACACACAAAAATGTTTGTCAAATTGATGGGTTTCCCATCTTGTCCCACAACAAAAGCATCCATGAAAACTGCATTTTTTGGGCAGTCACGAAGTGGCTCAAGTGAGACTGCTGATAAGCCAACCCCATATTCCCCCACATCGAAATATGTTCTGTAGTACCACTCTTCAGTTAGGTCCATATATGGCACGAAAAGCTCGGATATGAAAGCTTTGTACAACAGGCGACGAGATTTCTGCTTCTCTATGTCGTAAATGGATGCTAAAGATATGATTGGACCCACTCTCATGTCGAAACTCAAATGAAAATCCCATGCCCCCATCTGACCACAATCATTAAGTGCATGTAAATAATAATATAATTTAACTTATACAATCTCAAAATTACCTATATAAAACAAACAACATAGACTTGACATCTATAAATATGTGTTTAGAATTTTAAAAGAACTTTAACGAT